GATACGATACATATCATAACAGAGGGGTCACGATACGATATATCCCGACATATTGCGATACTGTAAACAAGGCGATATATTGCGATTTTTTTATCCAAACATTCTATTAAATAAAAAACCTCTTACTGAAAAAAAAGGAAAGCTAATGTTTACTTTCAATGCTAATGCTACCCTTACTCTCTGGTGCTCAAGAGGTAGAGGAGCCAAATGGGTGGGTCACTGCTGCCAACTAGTGGTCAGAGGCTGAACTACAACATAAAAATGAATGGTTGGCAAGAAGGTTGACATTTTAAAACTTAATAAAAAACTCGATACAGGGCTTTAGAATATCGATACAGTATCGGAAAAGCGATATTTCAGGCAATATTTCAGTGTATCGATATTTTCTTACACCCCTAGTTCTGTCTGACTTGACCCAGTATACATTCTGGAGTGCATTATTACTAATGCAAAGTTGATGACTGAGACCACCCTCCAGCTCCCGGAAGTGAATGCTGCCACACTCACACAATGGTACACAAGACAGATTTTCAGACATGTGTTTACATAAATTTCTTTATTTTAACTTCTTTAMTTGATGTTTCCACAGGTACAGCAGGCGTTACAGATCACTGGAGAAGAACATCTTGATGCAGGGTATCCCAGCTCCAGATCCACCCATGGCTGGACCACAGCAACTTCCTGAAGCTCTGCAGAAAAAAGAGAGTCTGCATTTAGAGACCGTGACTGAGCCTCATCGTTTTATGCTGCCGCCCAACACGGCTGGAGAAGCAAAGCTTAAACTGAAACCGACAGCCCCGGCTCCCCTGCCCTTTCACCAAACTTCCGATAACTTTTGCAGTCCCACTCTCAGCCCAGACATCTTTAAACACAACTCAGCAATACAAAAGAAAAGATGAGGAGAAGTTAAGTGGAAAAGGCAAAAGAAAACACATTAAAAAGACAGACGTGATCATTTGCAGTAAAGTGTAAGGAAGACAGACTCACACAAACAGTACTTTGGGAACTGGTACTGCGAAAAATCTGRAACTCAGTCTTATGATGACTGGAGGGCAGAGCTGCAGAAGCGAGGTTACAAAAAGAAAAAAAGTGGGAATGATGAGCCTCCAGCCTCTTAAATTGTTGTGTTTAGTAACACATAAAGGTTTTACTATTGCAGGTATCAAGACNCATCATCACCATCACATCATCATCATCACATCACCATCCTCATCACATCATCACCATCATCAACATCATCCCCATCATCATCATCACCATCATCCTCACCATCATCATCACATCATCACATCCTCATCACATCATCACCATCATCATCATCATCACATCATCATCAGATAAGAACTCTGAGACAATCACCTGATCTGACCCCTCAGGTTCTACAGTCTCTGTTCGGACCTCACCTCGCTGCTTTGATCAAGGCTCCGCCCTCTTCTGATGACATCACAGAGGGCTCTGCCATTGAGCCGACAGCCCCGCCTCTTTCTGAGAGACCGATCCTGAACCAGAACAACGACTCAAGCAAATTGGTCCGCAGGCAGGGGGCGGTCCCTCAGCTCCTCCTGGACTTCCTGCGGACGCAGACCAAGACCGTGAGGCGGGGCAGGAAGTCCATGTTTGGWGGGAGAGGATGCTTTGGGATGAAGYTGGACCGGATTGGGTCCATCAGCGGACTGGGCTGTTAGAGACGCAGACAGAGTTGGCATTAGGCCAGGTTACCATGGTAACTACACAGGCTCCGCCTTGGACAGTGACATCACAACAGGAGGCCCTGATGACCTCTGACCTCCAGGATCAGACATCATGTTGTTACTGATGAGCCTGCTGACGAAGACCGAAGAGTCTGACCTTTGACCCCTAGCTTAACTCAAGCCAGCAGGACAGAGTGTGTGTTATAGTGTGTGTGTGTGTGTTTTGACAGCGCAGCTCTCCTCTTCTGCTGCTTCATTACAGTTCATCAAACTTTAATTATCATTATAATTATATTATAAAATAAATGTTTCTGTGGTGACTGAATCAAATGTGTTCCTCGTGATTTTAACTGATTCGTACGGACGAGCATTGTTTTCACCAAATAAAACAAAAATGGACTTATTCTCTGTGTTCAGGTGTCTCCTGATCCTGATCTCCTGATTGTGAGACYAGGATCTTATAATTATGAGAAAAGATCTCATAATTACAAGCTAATATGTCATAGTTATGGGATAAGATATTTATGAGATAAGATGTCATAATTATGACATCTTATCTCATATTACGAGTAATTATGAGATATATCTTGTAATTATGAGCACAGGAGTTCATTTTTTTATTTGTTTAAAGCAGTGGTCTTCTGTAGATTCACCTTCATCAAATCAATAATAAATAAATGTTTATTGGAGCTGTTTAAAGTCCTGGACTTCAGAAACATCTGTGTAACAAACAGACAACATTCTCTGTTAATCTTTTATTTTACTAAAGAAATAAACAACAGAAAACAAACATTGTCAGGTTTTAATAACAGGTTTTTAATATTTTACCATCATAAACTGTAAATGAGAAGGTTATTCAGTTTCCGGCCGCTCGGGGCGGCACCGAGCCGTTTAACCCCGCCCCTCCTCTGTCACGTGACGAGGGCCAGCCCCTCAGCTAACAGTTAGCAGCAGCTAGCCTTTCGTCAGCCGCTACCTGCCGAGAGAAGCGGAGCAGCCCGCCTGAGACTCCTCTCCCCTGGGACGGTGTAGTCCGGTACCAGCCCGACCCGAACCCTCCGTCCTCCTCCGTTCTGCCCCGGTTCTGCTCCGTTCTGCCCGGCTCYCGTGTCCCTCCCGGTCCGGACCGTTCAGTGGAAACATGTCGGCGGTGCAGCGGATGAAAGTGGCGAACGAGCGGCACAGCAAGACCATCACTCAGCGGGGACACGTCCAGAAGACCTCGGTGAGTCCGAAGGATGGAGCTTCTTTTACCATAGAAGAAGAAACACCTCATTTACCATAGAAGAAGAAACACCTCATTTACCATAGAAGAAGAAACACCTCATTTACCATAGAAGAAGAAACACCTGAAGATAAACATAAACACTGCAGCTGCTGCTAGGCTAATGTCTGTTAGCTACATGCTAATGTGTCAGGAGGAAGTCACACTGAACCATCATGTCTGTCTGTCTGTCTGTCTGTCTGTCTGTCTATCTATCTATCTATCTATCTATCTATCTATCTATCTATCTATCTATCTAACTAACTAACTAACTAACTAACTAACTAACTAACTAACTAACTAACTAACTAACTAACTAACTAAC